ACCTGCGCAATATCATACCTTGTATTCTTTGTACCATGTGATATATCATTCTATTCAGAGTGTCATTTTCTATCAAATAAAGTAAAGATAGGTGCCAAGGGTGCCATTTAAAAATCAAAAGTTGAATCCTAATTTATATCATATACTAACATACCCAATATCGTTTTTTTATCTGAAAAAATAAAAAAGTTATACGGATGAGCCGCTTTTGAGATACACCCGGTGTAATGGTGAGCCACTTTTAAGGAATAGCCAGTATACATTATATAATAAAAATAAATAGTGAACAATTCAAATAATTAATTAATAGAAATATTAGTTTAATAGGCTTGCAATAAACATTTCTGATAAATCAAGCCTCTAACTGACAATTATTTGTTAAAATACCTCCAAACAATTTACTGAATTTATGGTTAATTAAATTTAAGGCAGGTCATTATTCCATGTACCATAATATTAACAGAGGGATTGCATCAAAGGGGCATCGGCAACATAAATGTCGATATCGCAGACCCGTGAGAAAGCTCTGAAACTCTGAACTGGAAGAAGAAAGCAAAAGGAAATTAAAAGTGTAGGTTAGTGACATCGCAATAGAGTTGGAAGATAACCGCCAATGCCGGCATACAACAGATTTAACCAGCATTAAGGCAAATTTATACATACATATACAGCACAATTTTACTTATCTATTTTTTATTTATGATGTTCAACAAATTCTTTGGATTTGCAAACTAAATTAAAATTAGTAAACGTAATGACAAAATTGTGATGACAAACTGATAATTGCAAAAAGTAAATCTAAATTAAGTGTAATATATTGAGAGCAACTTAAATTTATTAACAAAATATTATTATCAACAACCGACTAACTACGATAGTAGATTCCTATCAGCCAATAGAACAGGCAGGTTTTCGAAAAGGCTTTAGTACCATCGATCATCTACAAACAATTAAAACAGTCATTGAAAAAACAATTGAATGCAATATACCGCTACATTTGGCGTTTGTAGACTACCAAAAAATATTTGACAGCATCGAAACCTGGGTCATTTCTAGCTGCAATGAAGAGAATCGATTACAGATATTCCATTATTAAAAATATCTATGATAGTGCCAACCTTTCAAGTTAAATTAGATGATGCGCCCAAAACAGAAAAAATACCACTCGGCAAGGAGATACTATAAAAAATGTCTATATCTATGTGGCGGATTAATCTCTCCAAAAAATCCACTGCAAGAAACTCTACAAAATAAAATAGTTATTTTTTGTAAACATTTCTGCGTTAATCCCAAACGGAAACTACTGTCAGAAGTTAGGTTTACAGATACCGTGCTGGCAACTGTTACTTTTGGGTCGGCATTTACATGTGTGGATTAGTGTGGAAGTAAATCGCATAGGGATCTTATTAAGTCGGAGTGAGAGAAATGTGACCGACCGATGCGACGCGCGACGGTGTGCTGTTGCGGCGTTGCCGATACGCCTTCAAATTCCACTTAAAGTAAAATCACGATCGCAAACCGCTTATTTTTAAAAGACTTTTTTTTCAAGAGATAACTAGATAAAATCATTAGACATGTTTCTGAGCATCTGAAATGGAATTATAAGGATATCGTTAGGGTGTCATTTTTTTATAACGAGAAAACGTCAGTAATCGCGAAAATTTAAAAACTCAACTTTTTAACACATAACAGGCCATAACTCAAAAACAACTTTAGATATTGAAACTTTTTTTTATTTTCAAGATCGGATATTTTACAATATATTTTTCCATTCAAAAATTGTAAACAATCCATCCATTTACTTTTAGAGCATAGCAATTTTCAGCAATCGGGTAAGTTTTTTATTGATAAAGATTTTCACATACCGTCTACAAAGAAAATGCAGCAGAAATATTAACAAAGTTCTTGAAAAAACTACAGTCTATTATTTCTAATAGATTTCGAGATATCGATTTTTGAATTCAGAGTTCTAATAGCGCGACCACTATCAAACACCCACTCAATTCCACTTATTTTTACCAAAAATGCAAGTGTTTCTAGCTTGCACCTAAAAAAAATCAAGCTATAGGGAAAATTACAACGACTCGTTAATAAACAAACAAATTAAGTGTCACGAGACGTAATTAAATCGTGAAGCTGAACGCATGACGTACACCTTTCCCTAGAACTTTAAGTACTGACAGAGGTATTGATTGGGTCGACCGGTCAACTGCGATAAATCTGCTATATCCCCTTCCTGCTATAGCCCCTTCTACGTCTCTTAGCGATGTGCACAGTTTCTCGGTTTATTTCATACGTTTGGCAACGTGTTTACTGTCCTCTCTTTGTTCAGTACATTATAAACGCATTGTACTCTTCTTACATACGGAAATCTCGACCCAAGACTAATCTTCGCCAACCCTTAGTATACAAATTTGCCTAACGAACAAAAACATGTTTAACGTATCGGAAAGTTTATCTCTTTCCGTCGTCGGAAGCAAAAAAAACAAAGAATAAAGAAAAACACTATTTAAAATTTTTAAGTTCAACTCTTTGAGAACATTTTAGTTTTTTAAAACAGATACGTCTACAAAAAACGTTGACGTTCTGTTAAAATGACATTATATCAAGTTAAACTTCAAAATTAACAATTACTACGTGATAACAATTATTACTTAATAAGGTAAAACCAATTTTTTTTAATTTTTACGTATGTTATGTTTTTTTATGTTATGTTCTTTAAAATCAAAGAAGCGATTGCCATACATTACTAACATCTACAGATGCATGAGCAATACATTTATTTTTATTAGATTGTATTAAAAAAGCCTCAAAAAATAACTATTTTATTTTGTAGATTTTCTTGCAGCGGCGAAATACCCATATAGGATTTTTTGGAAAGGACATACCATCTCTCCCAAGTTATTTACACTGGCACTGAAAAATGTGTTTAGGAAATTAGAATGGGGAAATAGAGGTCTAAACATCGATGGGGTACACCTTAGCCATCTTAGGTTCGCAGACGATATTATTTTGCTGAGCATCGACATTCAAGAACTCAACACCATGCTAAAGGAGCTAAATGACCAATCCCAGAAAATTGTCCTTAAAATGAACTTGAAGAAAACTAAGATAATGAACAACAATAGCCATAACATTACTGTAGATAACGTTGTTATTGAAAACGTGGACCGTTATATATATTTAGGTCATAAATTCAAGCTGGATAAAGAGAACGAAAATACGGAGATCAAACGCAGGATCCATTTGGCATAGGTAGCATTTGGAAATATGAACGATATTTTCAAAGATAAAAAGGTGCCCCCAACCTAAAGAAAAAGGCTTACGACAGCTGCATCCTACCTGTGCTTCCGTATGGCTTAGAGAATATGGCAATTACCCAAAAAACAGCAGAGTAACTACGAGTTGCACAAGACCCATGGGGAGAAGCATTTTAGGAGTCACAATGTGAGAAAAAATACGGAATACCCATATACGGTGAAAAAAACAAAAGTAATAGATGTTGTTAAAAGAGTGACAATGGATCGGACATGTATTGTGGCGAGACAGGATCCAGACCGATGACCCCAAAAAGTCATGCTATGGAAACCTAGGGGAACTACAAGAAGTGTAGAACTACATCGGCCAATTTCTTTTTTGGTCGGCCCAACCAAAAAAGAAATTGGCCGATGACGTCAGAACAGTGGTAGGAAGACAATGGATGAGACTGGCTAGAGATCACGGAGCATGGAAAAACCTAGAAGAGGCCTATATCCAACACTGAATGGAACCAGGATGAGAAAGAAGAGAAGAAGATATTGAGAGCAACCGAAAGGATTTAGGAGACATTTAATTTTATTGAAAATTTATCTAAGTTAATTATTCTTGCGTTATAATGATACTAGCGTGTACCCGCGACTTCGGTCGAGTCGAATTAACCATTTGTAATGGTGATGATAAAGCAAAGCAAGAATTTCGATTAACATACAAATAAAAAAATAAATAAATAAATAAAAATATATAAAATTTTCTCACATTAATGTCAGCATGAGAAAAAACAATATGGCGATATTATTACATAACTTGGTAATATTTGAGGGGTAGTTTCATCTCGTTGGAAGTTGACTTTCGAAAAATCCGTTTGCCAAAAATAAGCTTTTTACGTCAAGCAGTTTAAGCAGAATCGTGGTTAATTAATTAACCAACTTTTTTGTATGATTTTTTAAAAAATTTCAAAATATGTAAAAAAAAACAAAATAAATTATGCGTGTCCAAGCGTTTCACCGAAAGACTAACCGTTTTTTAAATAACAAATATTGTAATATGTATTTGAGGGGCATTTTAACCCTCTTGGAATTTGAGATTCGAGAAACCCCTCCTTTTCGAACCTCTACACCCCACAGTCAATCCGTTTGCCAAAAATCAGCTTTAAACGTCAAAAAGTTTAAGCAGAATCGTGATTACTCAATGGTCATATTTTATGAAACACCCTGTATAAATTTTTAAAAAATCTTAAAATATGTAAAACAACAAAATAAAATATAAGTGTTTGAGAGTTTTTCCGAAAAACTCACCGGTTTTTAAATAAAAAAATATTCTAATATTTGAGGAGTGGTTTCACCCTCTTAGAATTCGAGTTTCGAAAAATCCCTTCTTATCGAACCTCTACCTTAAAGTCAATCCGTTTTCCAAAAATCAGCTTTTTACGTCAAGCGCTTTAGCAGGATCGTAATTTTTAAACAGATTTTAAAACAGATTTTTTAAAACACCCTGTATACATTTTTAAAAAATCTTAAAATATGTAAAAAAACAAAATAAAATATACGTGTTTAAGCTTTCTTTCGGAAACTTGACGGTTTTTTAAATAACAAATATTGTAATATTTGAGGGGTGGTTTCACCCCCTTGGAACTGGAATTTGGAAAAATCCCTTCTTATCGAACCTCTACACCCTAGAATCAACCTGTATGCCAAAATTGAGCTTCTTACGTTGAGTGGTTTGAGCAGGATCGTGATTAATCAGTGAGGTCAGTCTCTTTTTACTCAGCTGAACTCGCTTTTGAATTTACATAAGCAAAAACTAAAAATAATTATTTTTTAGTCGACTTCAACAAGATGAGTACAATTCTTTGGCTGCTAAAATAGTGCTCCTTTTCCCACAAAGCCAAAGGGAGTGTATTACTGTCCCCCTGTGAAAAGAGCATGTTGTCCATTTCACAAGACAGTTATGGCTAAGGGCAAACTAGTGAATCACTGCAGAAATATTTTATTTAGATCTGGTGATACCCAAAAACAAAGAAAAAGGCCAGATGACGAAGACTTTTGGTATTGTCCCGAAACAAAAAAAAGATAATTTAGAAGGTATAGCATTACAATAGTAAAATTTAGTTGAAATTAGCAGAAAGCAATCATTTTTAGATACATTTAAAGAAGAAATTGCATAGCTGCAACATAATACCGAGCCATGGAATAAAGTAATGGAATATTGGACTCGAACCTGGGAAGTTCGATCCACATCATGTGACATGTCATCCTCAGTGTCGCAATACCTTGAAAAATGACCAAACCAAACCAATGTTTATGCTGTACATACTAAAAATAAACTTTTAACAGAGATATTTTTGCCTTACTTTAAGAATTTTATTTTACTCAAATGAAACAAAAAGAAAATTGTTCGGAAAATTGAAAAGTCTCAAATTTAAAAATATATTTATTCAGACTAAGTAAAAACTTTTGTCGCTTCAATTCGTTCGTATTTTAAAACAAACTTTTACCCTTGTTTATATCATATACAAGGCTTTTACTAATATTCATTTTGAGAAATAAGTTACTCAAATGCAGATTGAATATACTTTAATCAAGAAAACCATTATATAACTTTAAATTCGAGGCATTTCAAACAGAGTAAATGCAATTTTTATTGTAGAATTAGTTTATTTTCGCGTTAAATGATTTGATATCTTAAAACAACAATCGTTTGTGTCTTAGATATAGTAATACTAAATATTTAAATCTAAAATTTTTATTCTTGTTTTATAAAATAAATCATTCATTAGGAGAATATTGCAGCATTAAATTTATCATTCTAAATAATTAGTATAAATATATATTTCTTTGCGTATATACAAAGTTAAGATTTATTCTATTTGAGTATTAAATGTTCAAAATATGAATATTCTTTTTTGTGTGTAGATTTCCAGTATTTTGAATATAATATAATGAACCCTCTACAAAGGTACAATCTTTGCTTATTTTATACTCATAGAAATTTTAGTTGAGGAGTACTTCAACTAAAATTTCTATGGCGAAAAAATGCAACCGAAGTTATAATTAAAAATCAAATAAAAAATATACAATGGGCAATAAAACCATCGAATGAAGAAAAGGAATAAATTCATAATATAACAGGATACTAAGGAAAATGCTTATTCATGCCCCCAATGTATACCAATAAAACTAATTCTATTATTATACTATAATTATTTAATAACAGGTCTGTAATAATAGTTCTCAATGCTAATATTGTTTAATGATTAATAATAGGAGACAGTCTTTTTCCTTATTGTGCAACTGCACATTAATGATATTACGTTAAACACTACAAACGCATGCATGATTTTCCAACGATAGGCTCGACTAGGCTCGTACCTTCACGTAAAAAGCAGCTTAAGCAAGTGAATGCAAAATATAAAATATCACTGGCAGAATAGAGATCTCTTTTAATAATTGCAAAGAATAAAGTAACAGCGGCGTATCTTAATATCTGCATATTTGGTAATATTTTTAATAATAAATAATATTTTTAATATTCAAAATATTTCAGAGAAAAAAATATAATACTTTTAAATGATATTGTTATTGTGAATGGGAAAAGGGAAGTTAATCACCGCAAACTTATAGATCTACTGTGTCCCCCTTTCTGGAGTTATAACTCATCTTTCAGTCACAGGGTTTTGACAAAAGCCAGTATCTGAGACGGTCTTACAGAGGTTAGTTCTTCATCTCCATATCAGTCATACCAAAGTTTATGTCATGAATGAGGTGTTCTGGTGTTTCCCCATTTTCTCTCATAGAATCCGCTTTCGCCCTTGTTTCCCAGCTTCAATCTACTGAAGTGTTCATTAAGGAAACAGTGGACTGTTAAAAACCCCGTGACAATCCGAATATTGATTTTACTTAAATAAAGGAAAATTTTTGATGATATTATATAGTTGAATGTCTCAATTTACAAATCCAAAATTTTGTCTCAAAATAAAGCGGTTATAAAATTACATCTATCTATTAGAGTTAACTGAAGTTACTTCTAGCAAAATAAAACCCTAATTCACCGTAAAACACCAAAACACTTTACTTACACCACCGAACGCGCGTTTCGCTAACCATGTTAGCATTATCAGCAGACGACGAAGACTAAGATAATGATTACGTCTGCAAAACGCACGTCCAGTGTTAAGAAGTAAAGTGTTCTGGTGTATTATGGTGAATTAGTGTTTTATATTGCTTTTATAAAACCAAAGTTTTCAACCCTAACTGTATTCTAGAAGTTACTTCTGCTTACACCTTCTACTGCTTCATAATAATCAAATAATATATTTATCATCTCTCAGATTTAAAAAATAATTTGCAAAACTTTCTGCTAAAACGCAAATTAGGTTGAAACTTTTGGTGTTATATTAGAAAATTCTAAATGTCAACTGCAAGAATGAATATATTTGGGATAACTACTACCAGAAATCGACAGAAGAATTAAGTTAGCAAGGAGTACTTATGGAAGAAACTCAATCATATTCAAATCTAGAATAAAACTCTATCTAAAGAAGAAAACATTCGACGAATGTGTACTACCAGTCATGACCATCGAACCATGCGAAACCTGGACACTTAAAGCAGACATCATAAGTAAACTGCAGATCGCACAACGTTCGGTGGAACGAAATATGCTGGAAATAACCAAGAGAGACCCGAAAAGGAATATATAGAGTGGATACGACAAAAAACCCAAGTAATAGATATCATCCACAGAGTCAAATCGCTCAAATAGCAATGGACAGGACACCTGGCAAGAAGAACGGATAACAGATGGACCACAAAAATTACAGCATGGTACCCACGAGGAATTCAGAGACCTAGACGAAGACCGAACCTGATATGGGTCCATGATATTAGGAAATTGGCAGGGATAAGTTGGACCCGCACAGGGGCGTAGATAGGTGTATGCTATGGGGGTGGTACTATGATTAAGTCGCAAAAAAATCACCGTCGGAATTTTTTTGTCGAATTAAAATGACGGCGATTTTTTTGTCTTCAAAAATATATAAAAACATAACACAAAAATTAAAATATAGATTTGTAAATAACATAAACAAAAATGAAACAACGACGTTTATTAGTTAATTTTCTATAAACTATCAAAAAAAACTATAAAAACTATAAATAAAACTACAAAACAAAATCAAGTTTTCTAGTACGCTGTTTGGAAAACCTATCAATAACAGCATCAACATTTATTTCAATATCTTTATGGATATTGATTAGAGTTAACCCCACTAATCTGTCCTGGCCAATAAGAACACTTTGTATGCTTTTAATGAGGTCGAACATATTATAAACGATAAATCAACATAATTAAAAGCATACAAAGTGTTCTTATATGTCGGATATTAATTAAAAAAAATCCTTTCATAGTCAATGACTATTTCAATTCTCGTATCTCGTCAAGCGTCAGGGGGGGGGTACTGTCCCCCATTACCCCCCCCCTTATCTACGCCCTTGGACCCGCATAGTCAACAATAGACAACAATGGGCGCAACTACAAAGAGAGTATGTAAGGGAGGCTACACCATAATTGGAAATGGTTGAATAAGGTGATGATGATGATGATCAACTGCAATACACCAAAACACTATTTAAACCACATGGCTCATGTTTTGTTTATCATGGAAAAGAGCATCATCATCACCATTGCCATTTCGAATTTTCAAATAAAAGGATGGGTCTTTAAAATTGAATATTCAGTACAGGTAAATATCTCAATATTTTAAAATTTGATTACAAATAAACTATAAATTAATTTAATATTTTCAACAACGGTAACAAGTACTCTTCCTAAATTTCATGAAATTCACGTGCCACAAATACTTTTTTGAGACTACAATGTCGATCTTCAGAGAAGAAGGACTAAAAATAAGGACTGAAATTAAAGTTAACAATTAAAGAAATGCTATCGAATTATTTCAATGTATTATGAAAATTGCATAGGCAGGAGTTATTTATCTAATTAGATAATCAACTGCCCTTATTAATATTTTACTTGCCAATTCAGCATTGTATAATAATCGAACTTCAAAGCTTTTAGACGGTTTTGGAATATCTCTAATGTATGTCCTAGTGATGGAATTTGATTTTCCAGTATTGCAACTTGAATTGTACGTCTCCATATCTGTAATCCTAGTTGAGTTGGACTTTGGTTAGAACGTAATAAAAAATGACGGAGCAAACTGCATCATGGTTAAAGACATTTTATGCTATTACTTGATTGATTTTTAAAGATAAATGTTGAGATTTAATGCTCGAAATATAAGGATTTTGTTGTATTTAAAGAGAAAGAATAAAAGAAAATAAAAGAAGATCGGAAGAAAAGAAGATATTTGATTAAGAGAAATCGATAAAAATAATATAAATACAGATAGGGCTCGTCGGGCTTGTTACATTGGTAGCTACAAGATGTAAAGGAAGAATTAGATAATCTTCAATCTCTTTTTAAAGTAGTTCCAGAATTTTTTAGTATTGAAAATACTTCTGGCCGCGTTTATATGGGACCCATCTTTGAAAAAACGACATGCTAGAAGCAACATGGGTTCAATAACCTGCCTGTCAACACGTACTTATGTCGATAGAGCCTGCATTGATGAGCGAATAGGACAAGGCCGTTCAAATCTGGACCGGCGGATAAAGAAAGCGATATTATTTTAAAAGAAAATATGTCAAGGCATGGGTTGTTAGGTACAGTTTGGCTATTTTAATCTAACTATTTCCGTAAGGGGCAAATTATACGAGAAAGAGCAGAATCACATAAATAATAAATTTAGACTAATTACCATATTTTTTATATGATTATTATTTTTTTAATTAACAACTTCGGACAAAGAAAAAGCTTGCATGGTTTCCACCACCAACAGGCGTTAAAACAAATGAATCCAAGGCGTTGTCAAATATTTATTGGGATAAGTTGATAAGTTTTTACCGTTTGAATATTGTATTATCATTTAATTAGTGCTAACTTATCAAAGTTCACAACACGGCGAAATTTTAACAAAATCGGCCAATGGATCTTTGAGATATTAATAAAAAAATGTCTATTAGGAAACATCTTCACACCCTGTATCTTTAAAATTAGGCATTTCCGGACACATGTTTAAATTAACTTTTTACCTTAAAAACACTCAAAGAATCACCTCCTGAAGTTGGCCAGATACTACTTAATTAACACCCTGTATTTAAAAATGGTTAGCTAGTGATTTTGTAAGTAAAGCTATGTTTATTTTAATAGAAAAAAAAATAAATTTCATAAAAAATAAACAAACCCATAATTCAATTACTATACACTAATTAATTAACTTTAAATGTATC